CTGTTGTGGGTCTGACTATTGCCAGAAAAAGGTAGTGTAAGATGTATGCTCAAAATACCTTGAGATGAGTAGATTCAGTTTTTAAGTCAATGACACTTTGCCACATAAACCCAAAGAATTTACAGAGGCGCCAAAATTTTGTCTTAGTTTTCCTCTGTAACAAACATTTACCCAATTACAAAGCTATAGAGAACCTGGAAAAAAAGCAGTAATGTGTCCTTAAATGTTCCCTCCAAGTCTTACCTGTGTGAGTAGTGAATGAGAAGATTGCCTTGGGGAACTGACAGTAAAGTTGTCACTTCCGTGAGCAACCGTATTCTGAACCTCATTGATACTAGAAGTAAGTTCTGGTCCAGCCCAAATGAAGAGCAAAACATTTGGGTTTTTAGGCCAGTTTTTAGCCCCTCCTCACCTGTGTACACAGCTGGGCAGTTTCCAGTAGAAAGAGCAACATTTGATTTCTGAAATACCACCTGGTTGCTCGGAGTTGAGGCAGCACAGCATGAGAGCCTCTGCAGGCCAGTACTTGCAAAATAATATTGATGTTCAATAATTGCAGGAAATGGGAAGGAAAGCCTAACTGATGTGCAACGTGTGAAGTTTGATGATGCTTCCAATGATGCTAACTTCAGCAGAAGAAGGGTATCTTCCATGTTGCAGCATCAGTAATTGCTTATGAAAAGTGGAGGTGATGACAGAGTTGGGATAGATTTCATTGCTATACTTGTCACTTGCTATAAATATGAAGTGAACAGCCTTGCCTTTTTTCCCCTAAGATTGCACTCAAAAATAGTACTTTGCCTTTATGAGAAATAAAAAATTACTCAAAATGTAAAATAAAGTAGCAAGCCAGCAGTTGCTACAAATTGCTAATTAACAGGTTTTGCCACTAATCTAAATCTTGATTACTTTGGACCTTGGCCTGAATATCAGAAGTTAATTACACTGAATTTACTCTGCTAAGGAGATTAGATTACAAAAGTAAGGACAAGACAAGCTTTGGCATGATCACAAGAGAAAGATTTACATTTGTAGCTTAACAACTACAGAAAAAAAAACCCAAACCTTTGCTGATTTTTATTGAATGCTGTGATTTGGGTATTTGTATGGGAACTGTTAGACCCTACGTAGTGGAAAGTTGTGTTAACAAACCACAAAAGCCTTATGTTTCACTTTAGACGTGGCTGTTTCACGTCACCATGAACTGACTTCCAGCGACTGTCTCATAAATCATCTTTGGTTAGTGACTCTTTTAATCTAAAGGTATTTTTATGGCAAAACTCAACTGTCCCCTCAATGAATCAGAACCCATTAGTGCCACTGCAGCTTGCTTGGGCTAGAAATATAGTTTACCAAACCATCTCATGCTTATTAGGTTGTAAGTCCTCTCTCAGCAACGTTAGTTGAAGATTGTCTCAACCTCTTCAAGAGGCCTGAACAGCACAGGCACTCATTTTAGTTCCTCGATATTTCCATCAGCTGGTTTTTGGGATGACTTCAGGAACCAAGTTGAATTCTGGCCCTCTTGAAAGAGGGAGCTTTCCCAAAAGATGGTTGTATAGAACAGAGACTACTTTCAAGTGGAGATGGCTGGCAGAGGGTGTTTTGTCTTCTGCAAGACATAAATAAGACAAGATATGGGTCAATCCCTGAATTATTCTGAATAAATTATTCCCTCTCTTATACCAAGCAATCTGCTAGCCTCCCCTTTTATTTATCCCCCTAAAATTAGCCAGTATGAAAATTTTTCAGGTGATGGTGGAATGGGTGCAAGCTGTGCATGAGTTACACATAATGAGGCTGTTGTTATGGCTAAACCTTTGTTCATGGTAGCAAGGATCAAGGGATGTGTTCTGCAGCAGCTGCATCTGGCACTGTAATTGTATCACTGAGCTGCTTCTGCAGGAGTGGGAACAGCCATGAGCAGCTATCCAGGCTTGTCCACGTAGTGCAAAACTGGTGGCTAATAGAGCATTTGATTTGTGAAGTGTGTGAGGCTGCTGAGAGCTGTAAAGGAGAGATCTTCAAAGATACTCTCAGCCTGGGAGCCGTGCAGCTGATGAACTAAAGGTATTTTGCTCATGCTGTTTGTGTTGGTGTTCATGCTGTGTGTGTTGGTGTTCGTGCCTGAAATCCAGCATTTATCTATAGGAGGGTGTAAATTGCCAAGTTTTGTCTTGAATGTGCTGATAGAGTTTTGGTTTCGTGGTTACATTTGTGCTGTGAAGTTTGAACCTTGCCAGTGCTGCTCCTTTTTGGCTCAGTAACCGTTTATTTAAATGAAGAGCTGGTGGGTTAATCCCGAGGCACTAAAATGTCCCTTCTGTAGGAGAATGGCTGCCAGCCTGTAGTTCACAAGTGGCTGGGATGTTGTGACCTGTATCAAGGGGGTTTCTGAAAAACTCTGATCTGCCAACAGGGTCTGCCTCCTTCACTTGAACATTTTGCAAGCATGTAAACAAAATAAGCTAGGAGATGATTGCCTTTAAACAAACCCTATTCTCTTGTGACTTCATGTATTTGTCACTGGCTGTATTGTGTTTGTCTCCTCTGCCTTCCAAAGTGGTGAGCTCGGGGAAGAGGAGTGCTTTCCTCGAGGGCAAGACTCTCTAGCTTTTCCTGCTCTAAAGAAAACAATTTTACCTCAAGGTGTGCTGCGCAGATGGTTTTTCTCAGGGTTTTAGGTTTACCTTGTGGTGTGGGGAAAACAGGGACAACCATAGCGTTAACATAAGACTGCTTGTTTGGTTTAGAGCATAAAGCTTTCCTCTTTTTTTTTTTTTTTAGTAGAAAAGAAATACAGACCTAACACCCTTCCAGCTTATTTTTTTATTTTCCAAACATGACTAGTTTTGGCTAGTTGAAACAGGAACATAATGAGGTACTAAAAATGTTAGAGCAGGGCACTGCTTATACTAATTAGTGTTTCTGTGGGAACCATTTAAACAGAAATAAGCATGTGTGTAAGTTTAAACTGTAAGGGAAAATGGTTTTGTGTTTCTGCTGAACTCCTGCACTACCTTTCTTTATCTGCCCCTTCCCAGCAAGAATTGGCTGCTCCTGGCAATGCACTCAGGTTGCATTTTCAGTTTACTGTTTCACAGCTCCTTCCAGGGGACAGATCCAGGTGCCTGAAGAAAACAATTATTTTTACATGCAGCTTCCTTTAGACACTTCTAAGAGAGTCAGGCAGAATTTCCAAAGCACTCTAGTTACAGAAATATTCATAGGTTAAGGGTAGGTATGAGTCACTTTGATAGTATGCATTTGCACAGAGGAAATGCATTTAAACCCTTGCAAATAAGCTGGAAGAAAATTAAAACCAAAACAACTAACAACTGTAATTCTGATGCAATTTACAACCTATTTTTAGACATGGTCAAAGAAAACTAATGTTAAGTGCAAGAATGCATGCTTGCTGGCAGAAACAGTGCAAACTAATTGTTTAAAACCAGTGTTTCTAAAGGGATTCTATAAAGACTACTGCTAGGCCTGGCTTGGCTTTACGTGTTTCTCTCTGATTTCAATGTAAATCTCTTCTAATAAATTTGCACACTGCTTGGGGGTTGGCTGACATGAGGGGTTGCACATAGCTGTCTCTGTTGCTATGTAGTAGGCTGGGCCATTTTTAATAAAATGTGGTTTACTGTAGATAAATATGAGATCACATGCCTGAAAACAGAAAGAAAATTCTTCATTTAAAACAATTTGCTTTCAATATTGCAAAGACTTGGGGAGATTCTTACACAGAAACGGTGAAGAAGAGTAGCATGTTGGTTTGCTTTGAGTATTCTACTTCTGAGACTTGGAGTGGGCTGTTGCCTCCACTTCTCATGCCTAATTTTTCAACAGCCTTTTCAAAGTATAGATAAGGCTTAGAGAAAAACCACCCAAATGCTCTTAATGCTGAAAACAATTCCTTAGGGGGAAAATTAGAGGGCGTTCAGGCTTGCCAGAAAGGATTGAAATGGGCTTAATTGCAGCATCCTTCCAGAGGAGGAAAATGTTGGGTACCAAAGGACTTCTAATATAGCTGAAATAGCATCATCAACTGTGGGTTGCAGTTAGACAACTCAAAAGGGATGTGAGATAGTGGTTTTGATGGTATGTGTGAATAAGCATTACAACATGCTCTAAGAGAGTGGTGAGAGGTTTCTTTTGCAATTCCAAATTGTGATGATCTCCTGGAGGATACACTGAGTGAAACACAACTCACTGAGTACCAGCTGGGGGCAACAGGATGAAATTTGGCATCTTCTGGTGTAACATGAGATAGGACAACTGACTCGGTTTTCCATTCCCTCCCTTAACTCTATTGAACTGAAAACTGCCCTGTATTTTCTTTGAAATATGCTACTTGGTTTGTTTTCTTGAGAGTAAATCAAGAATATTTTTTAAAATCCTGCAACTCTAACACATCTCTATCTGTTACATGACTTATCTATAACACAGTTATCTTTTAGACTACTTTGAAGTCATCCTTAGCTGTAATGTTCCTTAAACATATTCAGAGAGACACTTTTTTTCTTCCTTTCTTCTGTTCTCCCACTGTTTCCCCAATTCCCTGGAGAAAAAGCTCAGAGACTTTCATATGCAACTTGAAGTTTACAAAGTTTCTTTCTAAAATCAACTATTACTCTCTCATAAAACATGTTTTCTGACTTTAACCAAGGGATTTGAAGATATCCCTGTGTTACTGGTCAGGCACTTCTAGCTAACTCTATTACAGAACTATATACTATAAATAAAGCACCATATGACCAAGTTTGGGTGTTATGTTTTGGCTCTGTTGTGTTGGTGAGGATGGTTTCCCTTCTGGTGAGACAAATGCATACTCTGGTTTTAATCAAGGTTTTTTTTAAAGGTGGGGGAAACAAAACTGAAAGTCTGGGCCTAAATCTGCTAGTCTGACTTGCAGTCTGTTTGCTTCCTTCAGTTGATACTCTGTACAAACTGCCCACACCTGACTGCTGTCTCTAACACCTGTGTTTAATCTTCAGATCTCCGATGGCCAAGGAGACGAGCGCTCAGAGTCTCCCTATGAAAGTGCTGATGAAACTCAGACTGAAGTGTCTATATCATCCAAAAAATCTGAGCGAGGAGCAGGAACAAAAAAAGAATATGTGTGTCAGGTGAGAGATATTAGCTGGGGCAGCAAGCCATGTTTTCTGAGGGTTTTCTGAAGATAACAATATTAGGCCAGAAGCAGGTTTATTGCGTGGGTCTGAGGTGTCTGTTAGTGGTGAGGATGCCAGTAAATAGACTTCTTAATTTTTTTTGGTTTTTCTTGATCTCCAATAAGCTACTTAGCCTTTCTGCTGGAGCTTTCAGATCTGTAAGCATAATTTGTACCTCAGAATAGGTTCGTGGGTGTTGCCAGGTAACTAGTTAAACGATCGAGGAGAGCTGCTCGCTTCCCTGGTGATGAAGAGAAGGAAGTACAGCCCGGTGGGTTGTGTGCTCCTGTGTGCAGCAGAGGGAGCAGTGATGCACTGGAAGCAGAGTGCCCGTGCCAGGCTCACTGAAAGCCAGGCAGCTTTATCCACCTGTTCTAGAAGAGTTTTTAGATTTTGAAATGGTAACACCATACAAATGGACAGATCAAATTTGTTAACGTGGGACTGGGGAGGCAGTTAGATTTCCATTTCTTGTATGTACTGTTGGTAAGGTTATATTTATCTTTAAATGTTGGCTAATCCTTAAATTCTGCCAGCATTATTGTTTGTTTTTAGTTATGCATGTATCATTCCTAACCACTTGGACATGGAAGTATCGTTGTGCCACCAAATTAATTTCTTTTGGCTGAGGAAAAGGAAAATAAGGATGCTTTTTAACCCTACTCAGATGCATCAATGTGCTCAGGGAAAAATTGTTAAAGCTTTTTTTTCTTTTTTCTGTCAGATTGTATTTGCTCATGAGCTGTGGTTCTATGGGTGATATTTCTAGTGATTTAGTGGCTCTGTTATCTGTTTAGACTGGAAGCCAGGGCATACAATGATACTTGTAAATTATCTTTCACTTGTTAAATTTTATTTCAACAATGGGAAAAGAGATTCTGAGGAGCAATAAATGAAAAGGAATAAAGAAAACATTTTTTTTCCACATATGAACTTTTCTTTAACATTCAATGCCTTTGTGTTGTAAAAGCTGTGTGAAAAAACAGGTGATCTCCTACTGTGTGAAGGACTTTGCTATCGAGCTTTTCATGTAAGCTGCCTTGGGCTCTCTGGAAGACCAGCAGGAAAATTCATTTGTAGTGAATGTACATCAGGCAAGTTTGTCACTTCCTATTAATAAAAAAAAGAAGAAAAAGTTGTAGTTTTCCCATACGTTGTTCTAGGAAATCCTCCTGGACAGAGTATGTGTCTCTGGAGAAATATTTTTCATTTTGTGCCCAACAGGGTGGGAGTTCATATAGTACCATTTAGTGTGCCATGTTTAAGAAAGCTCACTCTTGCAACTTGGCTGATTTAGTCTGAATTCCATTGCCTTAAGAACTGTAGAATATTTGCTCTCTGAGTACAATTACAGCTTAGATTTAAAGTCTGTCACAAAGACTTAAGAAATTCTAGGGGAAAAAAGCAGCAAGTGAAATGTTTTAAGTCCTTTTTCAGTCCTTTGTCTATATAAATCTTTTACTTCTTCTATTAAAAGACTGCCTTATTGCTATTAATTTCATTTGCTTTTAATCCTGTAATAACTGCTTGGAAGTTCCTAGTCCTAAAACTTGATGTAAAAGATTTGCCTTCTTGCTCATAAGCTCAGTTCAGTACATGTGGTGAACCTTGTTTGAACAAGGCTGCTTCAAAATAAAGCTGTTCCAAGCACTCCAGAGGGAAGATCAGATGATGCTTCTCCTTGGTTTGTGGACCTGCTTCGAATTTCACAGGATCACAGACAACCCATTATCCTATTTCATTGCTTTAAAAAATAATCATAATGAAAAAGTCACTGTTGTTGTCTTGTTGAACTGAGGCTTATAAATAAGAATGTAAAAAGCAGATCAGTGAGGCTTTGGGGTGTTGCTGTGTTGATTTGGACTGCATTGGGTTTGCATTGTAACTTTAGATCTGTCTCTGAGCAGATCCGTTTTTAACATTAAAGAGTTAAAGTATTTTTATATAAATAATGATTGCTGCATCAAATAATAGAATTTCATATGACTGTGTTTAAAAAAAGGAAACCACTACAAGAAAAGCAGCTCCCCCATGCTTAACAAAAACAACTGAAGTGTTTTAAATTCACCTGTTTGGACGAAAAATTAGTTACATGGTTTTTATTGCTTTTGCCACTAGGTGTGCATACGTGTTTTGTGTGTAAAGAGAGAAAGGCAGATGTGAAACGCTGCGTCGTGTCCCACTGTGGGAAATTCTACCACGAAGCTTGTGTCAAAAAATTTCATCTCACTGTCTTTGAGAAAAGGGGGTTTCGATGTCCTCTCCACAGCTGCCTAAGTTGTCATGTTAGTAACCCCTCACATCCACGAATTTCAAAAGGTAGATTCATTTTACGTTTTTATGACTGATGAGTTAAGTGTGTTTATGGTATGTTAAGGTAAGGAATCTGGCCGTTTAGTAACTGCTAGTGCCAATTTTTTAGGCGGGCCTGGACTATCAATTGATTGAGAATTTAAAAAAATATATTAGTCAACGTGAGTATTTACCTTCTTTGTGTTCTGTTTTTTAACTAGCTTTCAGTTATCTGTAGTTCACCATGTTTTCTTCTCCAGAGGGAATGGAATCTAGAATTGATACATGATAACGAGTGAGGCAAGACCTGTGACTGTACCAACACCGCAGCAAGGCTGGCCCAAGCTGGAGACATTTTGTCCTGTGCATATTTTTAGCTTTGCACAATGTCTGTAGACAAAACTGCATGGCTGAGAAAAGCTTGTCTAGCCTGGTGTGCCTCCCTAAAGCCTTGGCATTTAAATATGACAGTGCTTTGAAACCAGCTTAGGGATCCGAAAAACAATCCTCTTAATTCAGCATCCTTGCAAAAGGCAAATATGCAGAGTCTGAAAACACAGTTGATGTCTTTTTTTGTGGATACAGGCTACCTTTCTTCTTTTCTTTTTAGCTCGAAGAGTAATAGCTCAGCTTTGTTTTACAAATAACATGGCTGTGTTGTGCTCTGCCAGGAAAGATGATGCGCTGCGTGCGCTGCCCCGTGGCCTATCACGCCGGCGACGTCTGCATTGCGGCGGGATGTGCCGTCATCGCCTCCAACAGCATCGTCTGCACCAACCACTTCACTGCCACCAAGGGGAAGAGTCACCACGCCCACGTCAACGTCAGCTGGTGCTTCGTGTGCTCCAAAGGTAAGCAATGGGGAGCCCCTCCTGAATGCAGCAGCAGCACCTTTTCTTCCTTGATTTAATGTTTGGTTTTGCGAGTCTATTTCTAGGAAATGGTTAGAAATGTGGCAGGAACACCCGCCTTATGAGGACAGGCTGAGAGACCTGGGGCTTTTCAGTCTAGAGGGGAGAAGACTGAGGGGAGATCTAATAAATGTCTATAAATAAATACATGAGGGCTGGGCATCAAGAAGGCAGGGACAACCTCTTGTCACTTGTGATAGGACAAGGGGCAATGGACTCAAACTCAAGCACAGAAAGTTCCACCTCAACACGAGGAAGAACTTCTTCACTGTGAGGGTGACAGAGCACTGGGACAGGCTGCCCAGAGAGGTTGTGGAGTCTCCTTCTCTGGAGACTTTCAAGACCTGCCTGGATGCCTTTCTGAGTGATCTGCCCTAGATTTTGGTCCTACCCTGGCAGGGGGGTTAGACACAATGATCTTTGGAGGTCCCTTCCAACCCCTAACACCACGATTAAGTTAGGTTTAATTAGATACTGAAATAACTTATGCTGCTTCAAGTTTTTGAGTATCCTTTTTTTGTGGATCTAATTTATTTAAGAATGTTATTGCTTGGACTTTGTCCAGCGACCAGAAGCCTGATTTAATTCTTTACCAGAGACACACAATAAGAAGTATTTCTCTACTCTATCCCCTGTGTTCAATGTACTGAAGCTTTTTGTCTTTTTTTATTGCTAATACATAATATTAAAGCATAAATATTTTAAGAGTTGCCTTTGGTTTAGTAGCAGACAACAAATTGAATCAGTTGTTGCTGAGAGTACCACTAATTAAAGGTGATTTTGTTTATATTATACAAGAAATTTATTTCTTATTGAGAACCACAAAATGCATAGTGCTGATTAAACTGTAGCAGTGAAAGTTTGCCTGATTTGTTAACAAATTAACATGCAGAGTAGCAGCTTTTAAGCTGCTGCTAACTTTCCACTTGATAATTCATGGGACAAACCAACAGCCTCATTCCCTCTCCTGACAGGAAAAAAACACCCATAAAGTAAATTTGTTGTCGTTAAAATCTTGCATACAATGAAATATTTATATATATTAAACTATGTTAAATATATTGTAGCCATTAAAGTATGAAAAAAAAAAAGTAATTAAAAATTGTAGTGCATTATTCTAGCTTTTTTTTTGCTACCTTGCTTGGTATTTTGTGTGTATCACTAATCTGAGCCTGCCAGGCATTCAAATCAGTAAGGACCTTTTGTTTTTTGTACACAACTAAAGGATATGTATTTCTTGCAGGCCAGCATGGTTTAACCATTTCTTTTCTAACTGAACCTACCACTGCTTTAAACCTGGTTGGAATGCAAAACTTGTGGGTTTTTTCTGGATGTTTTTCAACCTGTTTTTTTTCCCTTTCTTTCTTTCTGTCTGAAGGAGGGAGCTTGTTGTGCTGTGAGTCATGTCCTGCAGCCTTTCACCCAGACTGCTTGAACATTGAGATGCCAGATGGGAGCTGGTACTGCAATGACTGCAGGGCAGGGAAGAAGCTTCATTTCCAGGATATTATTTGGGTTAAACTGGGAAATTACAGGTCTGATGAAAGCATTTATTTTGTTTTACAGTATGGGCATGTTTAATTAAGGATCATGCAATTGGTTGTTTCTGTAGGCCAGCCTTGCTGCACACAGATTTCTCATTCCTCTGTGAGCCAGGGACCCTGTTTCCTTGCAAGTGTTGCTCTTCACCAAGGCATTACCCATGCACGACTCCTTGTAGTCTCTGACATCCGCTTCCAATGCGTGTGCCTTCAACCCCTTCTGTTTCAGAGATCTCTTCAAATAATTAAGATGGTGTAACTTGTAACAGGCTAAATTACTACCTTGCAGGCTGGGAGATAAGTCACTGGGGTTGTCAGTGTTGAGATCTGAGTGAGGTAGAGGTGGGTGGGGTTTATTCTAGAAAGCATCAGAAGCTGTAATCAGATGTCTCCTGATCTTTGACAATTACAGTGATTGCAGGCCTTGTTAAAGAGATGCTTGTGCTAACCAGATCTAAGGAGCTTTATGTGGATGCTTATCTTGCAAGTTCCCCAGATTTGTGTGTTGGGCTTCCCTTTTCTAGTCTTGCCTTTTCTTATTGCCCAGTGAGTGGGGGAGGAGAAGATTCTAAATCTGCTTGGCTCTTGGAAATAATAATTAGTTACTGCTGTTCAGGGTGGTTTTGTTCAACTGTTTCTTGCAGAAAGAGCTTGACTAAAGTGCTGTATGTTTTTTATTTGTACCTCTGTGATAGATGGTGGCCTGCAGAAGTTTGCCATCCGAAAAACGTTCCCCCAAATATTCAGAAAATGAAGCATGAAATCGGAGAATTTCCTGTGTTTTTCTTTGGTTCTAAGGATTACTACTGGACTCACCAAGCACGGGTGTTCCCTTATATGGAGGGAGACAGAGGGAGTAGATATCAGGGAATCAAAGGAATTGGAAAAGTCTTCAAAAATGGTACACAGCTGAAAGTAAACAAAAATAATCCTTTGATTTGCCTGCTTTGCTTTCTTCAGGCATAGCCCTGGGACTGGTTTAATACATTGTTTTACAATATTGAATGTAAAAAAATATTTGGGTGTCCTGGGCAGCAGTCACTATTACTAACTTTGAACAAAAGTATTGTTTTCATGGCTTCTAAAAAACTGGCATCTGATAGGAATTATTTCTGACAATTTTTAGTTTCTGGAAAAGAAATGATGGTGTAACTGGAAGACAGGAAGGGTAGAGTTAATAAAGCTGTTAAGAATATTAACATTCCAGAAGCATTGTTTGCAAGAAAATTGAGTAATGGGACTAGGAAGTAGAAGATGAGTCTTTGTTTAACAGATGTGGGAATGAGAAGATCAACCTGGGGAGAGTGATCCTCTTTCTGGCATGTCTGTTGATACAACAACCTGTTTTTCTCAGCTTTGCGAGAAGCTGAAGCTCGATTTCGAGAAATAAAGCTGCAGCGAGAAGCCAAAGAGAGCCAAGAAAGTGAACGTAAACCTCCACCTTACAAGCATATTAAGGTAAAGGGGACACTGGGTACTCAAAGCCAGCCCTGGAGAGGAGGAGCTGAAGGGTGAGATGGGGAGGAGGGGTTGTCATGATGTGCTGGGAATGGTGCTTCTAGAGCCATGAAACGATGGTGTTTTGTTCCAGCTGGAACACCTAGTGTTGCAAAGCCCAGTTAGCAACCACTGCAATACCTTTTACAATCAATTCAAATGTTTTCAAGTGACGTTTGAATCATTTTCATGTGTTCTTCAGGTGAATAAACCTTGTGGTAAAGTCCAGATATATACTGCTGACATTTCTGAGATTCCCAAGTGCAACTGCAAACCCACAGATGAAAACCCCTGTGGCTTTGACTCCGAGTGCCTGAATCGGATGCTGATGTACGAGTGCCATCCCCAGGTTTGTCCAGCAGGAGAACGGTGCCAAAACCAGTGCTTCACAAAACGTCAATACCCTGAGACCAAGATCATCAAAACTGATGGGAAAGGGTGGGGTCTGGTCGCCAAGAGGGACATTAAAAAGGTATGAATCATTCTTGCCTGGCAAAGAAAGGGTGACTTGCGATGCTCTCTGTGGGTTTGGTATATACTTTACTAGTGATACTTGGTGTCTTTCAGGGAGAGTTTGTAAATGAGTATGTGGGTGAGCTGATTGATGAAGAGGAATGTATGGCAAGAATCAAATATGCACATGAAAATGATATTACCCACTTCTATATGCTTACTATTGATAAGGTATTGTACATTTTCTTCCGTTATTTAATTATAATGTTATTGTGATCTCTTGTCCTCCTGTTGACCACCTTGCTAGGGCACTCTGCTACTTTTGATGTTTCGATTTCACATATTTGCAACGTTGTATCTTGCTCCATTCTCTATAGATCATGCATCTTGCTAGTCTGACTGTGTAATGTAATAAAGTATATGTTAAGGTTTTAAATTACTGCTTGCAATCAAATACAGCAGAAGTATTTACCTGCCAAGTCTTAAAAGGAACTACGAAGTTTTGGGATATAGTAATGATATAGTTGAAAGAGTTACTATTAGCAATCCTTTTAGTAAAATTTCAACAACAAAAAAAATTCTCCCTTGATAGTAGTGTGAAATAAAGTTGTGAGGCTGTGTTCTGTATTGAGCATTCATCTTTTTTGCAGTCCCTTTGTTCATAACAAAACTGGGCTTGTGATTCTGTAGAAGCTCTTTTCTGAGAGCAGTATCTGGGGAGTTGGAACTAGATGATCTTTAAGGTCCCTTCCAACCCTAGCCATCCTGTGATGTTTAGCTGCAAGCCAGCACTCCACAAACTGATTCTGCAGCAAATTAATCCAGCCGATTAATTAACACAGCAAATTAATCCAGCATCTGGGGTTGTCTCTGCACATCTCTGAGTATTCTGTTCCTGAGAGGGGGAACAAAGCAGGGAACCTGGACACTAGAGGTATTGATGATATATATAGTGTATTGCTTCAGTCTCCAAACAGCTACTTGAGAGACGAACAAGAGTTGGCTGCCAGTCTGGCATGTTTTTTTCATTCCTAATCATCTTTGTCTTGCCCAGGACTGGGCTGCTCTGTATTTTCACAGCTTCTATTTTACTTAGTGTCCTGTAACTGAGGAGTTCCTGCACTGGAGTTACCACTATGAATGCTGAAGTCATGTTTCCCTGAACACGTTAGTTTCTCACCCCTCCACTAAACTGACATGCAGTATCAGGGTGTGAAACATCTGAATTGAACATGTATCTGACTCTTGCTGTAGTTAGTAAATGATCCTTGTGGTTCTGCCTTTCAAAATGCCCACACTGGGTATTGACATGTATGACATGCATTATGAAAGTGAGTTTGAAGGAAACTGTAATAATATTTGATACATAAGCAAAGCTTTCTTAAGCAGCTCTGCAAAGAAAACCAGTTCTGGCTTTTTCAAGACTTCATTTTATTTTGTTAATGTCTGGTATGTTTGGTGGAGATAGAACTTAAAAGGCAATTGTGTGTAGTGATGGGATTTTTTTTAGTTTACCAAGAGCTTGTTTTTGTTTAAAGTAGACCAGTTTGGGGAAAGAAACTGGTAATCTCTGCAAGTAATCATGCAGTGACTTGGCAAATACCATAAAGCACAGTATTTGTGTGTGTGTCACAGCTTTGCGAATGCAAAGTAAAAGGTAAATGGACTGAGTTTGAGTTTCGAGGCCTTTTGGAGGGACGGTGCTCACAGGAACACTCATCCTGCCCTGTGGCTGAGATGGGTTCTGGGACAGTGTGAGCTAGAGCACGAGTATTGCTTTGGGAGTGTCACATTCCAGGCCACATGAGACACTACAGTTTTCAATACAACATGGACTTTCACCGTGCTTATGTGCTTCTGGGCAGCAGCACCATGTCTGTTCTGAAGGCAACTGCCAAAAAGAATTTATGAAAACTGCTTGGGTTTTGTGAGCTTGGAGAAAAAAATCCCCATTCATTCTCTTGTTGGTTTGATCTCCAGGACCGTATTATTGATGCTGGCCCCAAAGGGAACTATTCTCGTTTTATGAACCACAGCTGCCAACCAAATTGTGAAACCCTGAAGTGGACAGTGAATGGAGACACTCGTGTGGGCTTGTTTGCTGTCTGTGATATTCCTGCAGGTACCTCAGCTTCTGGTCGTCCTGGGTTCATTCCCTGAGTTAAACTTTCTGCATGGTTACTGAGTTGGGACAGTCACAGTTTAATTGAATCAGTGCAAATACTTTTGTAGAGATCTCCAGCAACTTTTCTGTATCTTTTCTTCAAGTGACAACAGTAAATGTAAGGCAAGAAGGTTGTTTAAAAATATATATATTCCAGTTTGTGCACACACACACGTATCTTTATATATCTATAGCTGTGGTAATAGATCTGCGAACAAGTACAAAACCAGAACACAGATCATTAAATCCTTACTTGTTTGTAATAATTTTATATACTTTGTTACAGTGTCCTTCCTAATGAAAGGGTGTGTCTTCTCTCACTCAGGGACAGAGCTGACTTTTAATTACAACCTTGACTGTCTGGGCAATGAAAAAACAGTCTGCAAATGTGGGGCCCCAAACTGCAGTGGATTTCTTGGAGACAGACCAAAGGCAAGTAATGTAGCAGGAGATTTTGACTGTGCCTTGTCTACTGGCCTTGTTTTTTCTCTCAGGGTAGGCACTGGTAGACCAGTTTTATGTTATGATAAGGGTAAGTGCTGCTTGAACAGATGTTAGCTGACCTCTGAGGAAAAAGCTTGTTTCCCTTGCTGGGAAGTTGGAAACATTATTTTTCCAAACATAACCTTGGTGCTAAAGAATACATTTTTATGCTGTAATAGCACAGCAGGTGATACTGATTTTTTGGGAACACCCTAAAATATTTTCTCCCACAAGCAATTAATTACTTTGGGTCCCAAGTAAAAAATATTCTAGTTACTATCACTAGCTTCTGGAATCAAAAGCATGTGAAAAAAGGAGTTACAGAAGGAGTAACCTTTCCAGTCCTGTTTGAAGTGTGGGGAGGGGAGGGCTGTAGGACTTAGGAGCTGACTAAGAAAGAGCATAACTGGCTGGTGAGATTATTCTGACATTGCTGTTCATTTTCCCCTCATCTAAACCTTAAATTATTATTATTTTGTTAAGATTTGTTAAATTTAACTTGAATTGAAGAATAAAAATTGAGAGTTTTGAATGAGGAAGAAATGATACCAGATTACATCCAGAAATGGCCAGTATGATTCACATCAGGTCAATTTAAAACCTGTAATCCAGCAAAAATTGATGGGGCTTCTTGAAGGATTAGCATAGGAGTGAGAGGGAAGGCACAAGTACATTCCCAAGAGAAAAAGACCTCATCTGTGGATGTAGAAAGGCTGCACCTTCATGTGGTCCTTCCTACTGCTCAGTCTCAAGCACTTCAGTGGGTGGACTTAAATCCTTGAGAGTTCAGGTAGCTGCTTGTGTTAAGGGAGGGGCTGAGTGGGGTTTCACAGAAGCTTGTGATCAGTTGATGCAGGCAGCCACCAAGGAGTAAAATGTTGCAGTTCAGTTTTTGCAGGGCTGTCTGCAGTGCTAGATAGAATGGGCTCATTTTAAAGAAAGTAGGTGATGATGTCTGGGGTGAGGGGGAGTGAATGATGGTAGGGGTGTTAAAAAGGCATCTAGAATGAATTCTCTGTGATTTGGTGAAGGAGAGCTGAAATGCAAGCAGCAGAATGTCAGATTGAAACAGGGACAAGGTTTGGTATATTCTTTCTAGCATGATGGGCACAGCTACAGTTCCTGCTGTCCATTCCTCAAAGAGAAGTGGAGACTGATTTTAGCAATTCCAACATGAATATACACAGCTGAACAAGAAAAATTGATATTGAAGTGATTTTGTGATGCCAGAACAAAATGGGGGTAAATTAGCCACAAGTACATTACATTACACTGGAACTTGGAAGGCTTTTTTCCAGTGATAAGAACACGGAAGAGCTTTCCTGTAGGAAGGATTGTGTAGAGACAAGAGCTGGTTTCAAGCTGACTTTTCTCAAGGGTCAGTGTGATTTATTTTTTTTATCACCACAGCTGGGTACAGTGAGGCCCTGGGCAGGTCTGCATCCAGTCACATCTGTGCCTGTGTGCACAGCCTGCCAGGCATGCCAATAGCTTTGCTGCTTAGTATAGTATTTTCCCTTTGCAGAACTGGCATTTACAGATTTGCATCTTAACTCTTTCAGAATTCTTCCACTAATGCCTCAGAAGAAAAAGGCAAAAAGACCAAAAAGAGAACACGGAGACGCAGAACGAAAAATGAAGGGAAGAAAGAATCTGAAGATGATTGTTTCCGTTGTGGTGACGGAGGGCAGCTGGTGTTGTGTGACAGGAAATCCTGTACTAAAGCTTATCACCTCTCCTGTCTTGGCTTGGTGAAACGTCCTTTTGGTGAGTGAGCTTGCCTGGTGAACTTGTGTGAATAAATAACCTGAGCAGGTACTTCGTTTATTGCACTGAAACCTTGTCAAGAGTGTCATCTGAAACACTGTTTTTGTGTGGTGAGAGCTTGGTTTGTGCATCATGTAGAAGATCTTCTGAAGGGTGGAGACAAAGTGGTGGCCTTTCTCCTGCCTCTCTGGCAAAACAAGCCTTATGTGTTACAAATGTAGGTAACTGAGCACATTCCTGGAGAGGAGCTGCTGTGGCCCTGTCACAGGGAAGTTGATTATATCTGAGAAATGCATGAAGCCAGTTGAGTTCAAGCCAAACAAGTAGCAGCAGTGTCTGGAATATCGAAAATGTTAAGGGCAGGAGACATCAGGTTGCAGGTCCAGATACCTCAGGAGTTACCTGGTTCCAGTTAGCAGTCTCATGTGTGGGATTGAACCATAGAATCATAGAATGGTTAAGGTTGGAAGGGACCTTAATATGAAGAAGCGAAGCAGGCAAAGCCTGTTATCCCAGAAACAAGTAAAACAATAGCTTGGTGAAGTATGTTGGGGCAAAAGAGTGTCTCTAGGTAGAGCACAGCAGCCATCCCTGAGCAAAGCCTGCAACAAACAGGTGAGTGTTGGAACAGGAGGCAGCAGGTGACTGGATGTTTGGATATTCTACCAGCCTGCAAGTTGTGTTAAATGCTGTTGAGTGAAGCCTGAATAATTTATTCGAGCTGGAGTTCACTGCTTTATTTAAATTCAAGCCTGCTGCTCACTGCTGTCAGCTGAGCTTTGGAGGTATGATGTAGCACTTGGATTTTGGAGATCAGCCATGGTAGCTGCTGTCTTGTCTTGCTTTGTCAGGGAAGTCGTGTGTTGTTCAGCTGTTAAAACACAAAACTTTAGAAGATGATGACACGTTTTACTCCCCACTAATGTGCTCTTTGGTTTTGATCACAGGGAAGTGGGAGTGTCCTTGGCACCACTGTGATGTTTGTGGCAAACCTTCCGTTTCCTTCTGCCACTTCTGCCCAAATTCTTTCTGCAAGGAGCACCAAGATGGGACAGTACTCAATTCTATGCTGAATGGACATTTATGCTGCTCTGAACATGTTCTTGGGGTGGATTCTGTTGAAACTCAGAAGACTGAGAAACCCCGCAAAAAACTAAACAAGTTGAAGCCTAAGAGGAAGCAGAGGAACAGATGGATGAGAGCTGAATGCAAATAGTCATGGACTGCAGTTTCTACTGCCAACACTATCTTGTAGATAAGTTGTGAATATGACCAGGGAAGGACACAATTTTACATACACTCTGTAAAGGTTACATGGGGCTGGGGGGGGATTTTTTTGTTTTGTTTTGTTTTGATAAATCCACTGAGCCAACCACAGCAGTCTGCTGCTGCTTCTGCACTGAGAACGAACTGCATAGTTCAGAACATTTCAGGACAAACCAAACTTATTACTCAGCATTACAGTTACACTTGAATTGTTACGAATGTAAAAGGTTCCCTCCAAAATGCTTTCAGAAAGGAGGTAGGTTAAAATCAAACCAGGTAGGCGTAAACATAGGGGTTGTTTTGTTTTTTTTGAGGTAGTATTTGTCAACCAACAGATGTTTAAAATAGTATATCCTTGAAAGAAGATATTAGCTCTCAAGTCCTTTTAGGTAAGAAATGGCTTGGTCTGTGGTCCCAATGAGATGTGTGTTTCTGAGCAAGTGCTTGAATGCCATCCATGATCCAGGTGTGTATCTCACTGTAACCACACAGGTGACATTTTGTTTGTGCTCCTATAAAATAGCTCCCCAGTGATTCTTGAACAAACATGTTTTTAAATATCCTTCCACCAAGAAATATAGTGGGTGGTGGGAAAGGCACACCCTGTACCAGAGAGGAGAAATCTTACTTTGTAAGAGATTTTTTTTTCTGTACTGTTTTTTTTCCTGTATTTTATTCCAGCAAAATAGAAGTGACTTGATTTTGCAGAGCTGTACAAGTCTGGATTTAAAGGGATATTGTCTTGCAGTCTAGGCCCAATACTCTAGGATTTTTGTGTCTTAATAAAAAATCATACAAAAACTATTACTTGAAAAAATTACTTCTTTTTTTTTTTTTTCCTGATGTCAAGTAAAATGCAGAGGCAAATATTTATTTGGATTGCTTGGAGTCAAGTGTTGCAACCTTGTGATCATGCAAAAAATGCCCAACGAGGAACAATAAACCCCCCCAAATGAAACAGCAGCTGAAACTTGACTAAAGTGCAAAAACTAAATTAACAAAAAAAATAACTAATGAAAAGTGAATAAGCTTTATCGAAGAAGCATCTAAGGAACTATTTTAATGTGAAATTTAGCCTGACTCTGTTCCTTTTGATATAGTTTGTGTAAAACTGACTCCTTGACTTGGCAGACTGTTGGAAATTGTTCTGTGCTTTCCTAGGAGCTCTGCTCCCAACTGTCTTATCCCCCCTGTGTTGTGTCAGCAAAGCCGTTTTTAATCCTTTGCTCCCATGAGGTTCTAACACTTGCAGTGAGATAAAGCTGCAGGATTTAGTATTGATGGAAGTAACAGTAGAACTAGGAAAAAACGGTGAAGAAAAATGTCTTTGCCCGTTTTCTTCCCAGTGTGTGTCCTTGGGGTGTGATGTGGCATCAAGGCAGGGAAGCTTGGACTGGTGCCCTGGTTTCTAGCCCGTGTAAGCTCAGTGTGCTCCTTCATCTCCAGGTTGTGTGTGGTCTAGCTTAGTTTGCCTTTGGTCATGCATAGCCCCTTTGAAAATGAAGCCTTTACTGTATCATGGAATTGTATGGTGGTTTTTTCCCCAAAGTATTTCTTCAGGATTTGATTGCATATTTAGCTTTTGGAATGATTGAAATCCTCTTTTGTTTCCCAACACATTAAAACTTTGCTTTTATCAGAAAGTGTTAATCGAAAGAGGTTTTAAATGTAGCATTGCCCTATCCTGAACTCAGTTTGTGACCAAACAACCTGCTTTGTTCTTTTCATCCATTTTTATAAACCCTGCTGGAAGCTTAATTTTTAAAATTATTTTTCAAATAATTTTGAAAAAAATAGCACAGTTTGAAGTAGGGGGAACTGTTACATGCCTGCATTTTTTTTTTAAGTGGTGTGCCAAGCCTTGAACTTGAATTAAAAATCAAGACTTCTTAATTGATTTTGAGGGAAACTTATGCCAGGACTGAAGCAAAGGCCTGTACCTAAATTTTTTTTTTAGAAATGGTATTGTGTGTGTTTCTCTAGTATTGTTTTTTTTTTGAGGGGAGGAAACAGATCAGGTAGTAAAGCAGAAAGATTTGCCTCGTCACTTTTAAACAAAATGAAGGAATTTGCTGTCATTCTTTGAATGGGAACCATTCTTTGAATCCTGCACCATGTAAGGAAGGCTTTATAAGAATACCTTGAAATAAGTTATTATAAAAATTTACCTTTACATTCCATTGCTTTTATAATTTGTTAACTTTTTTTATTTTTTTTTTTTTTAGTTGTTTTGTTGCTTTTTCCTCTTCCTATGTAGGTGTAGCAGCTCTGGCACCCTGGAACAGTTGTGCCCCAGGTCCTAAGAGGCAGATCCCCACTTCCAGAAGGCACCATCCCAGATAGGCAGGTACCACTCCCCCCTTCTGCAGTCGTGGGGCCTGTGACCCCCTGCCTGCCCCTCAGGTGGGCTCCCAGGCACATGCAGGACAGCAGGATGCAGGCCAGCCACACACTTGGTATCTGTCTGTGGGCAGGGAAAGACTTGGGCATTTAGTCCCTCCCAGTTGCTCTTTTCCCAACATTAAATTCACGCAAACAGATCTTGGCAAGTGGCTGTTGGGACTTTCTGTGTCCTCCTACCTCTGCTCTTCACTGCTCAGCCCCTGGGGCCAGGGAAGGCTGGCAGCACTGAGGCTGCAAAGGGGGAGCTTGATGCTGAGTTGCTAGGATCAGCCTTCTGCTGATCACAGACTTTGGAGATTGATCTTTAAGAGAAATGTGGACCATGTTCTCCCTTAATATGTACTGACCATGTAACCCTCAGCTAAGTCACTCAGGTAGAATTTTGGGTTCTGAATCAGGAAAGGTGGGGTTTGGGTGTCTTTTAATGAAGGCTTCTGCACCTTACTCTGCTGAAGTTCTGTTTAAAAGGAGGCAAAAATTGTTTCACTATTTTCCTTCTCCCATTGTTCAAATACAAGGAAAAACTGTCTTTAAAAATTAAGCTTTCTCATACAACTCAATACTTTTTAGCATTTGGCAACTTTAAGAAGTTGCCATTATAAATTCCTCTAATTAACATTAATTATGGCATATTGTGTGGCATTAAATTATCTAGTTATCAAAGCAGAAAAATGTCTTTCCTTTTCCAGCAAACTTTTCAGAGTTGGTATGTGGTTGCCAAGTTCAGAATGTGTTGTTCTTTTATCACATGAGCAAGCATGGAAGCAGTTTTCTGTGAAGTATGTTAGATGTATTTTCTTACAATCTGGGAAGGATAATCACATGTCTGTTTTGTTCTATAGCTATGTGTTCATGGTCAGTTTTTAGGTTTTTTTTTTAATTTTAAATTTTATTTTAATTACTTGGAAAAGCAAAAAGATCTTGAAAGACAAATTAATGGGATTTTTCCACATTGTTAAGTCACATTATTCCATGTCTGACTGCTTGAGAAACTTCAGTCTCTTATTAAATATTAAAATTTATTCCTAGTTATTTAAGAAGTTGTTAATTCATTTATTATGATTTTTTGTGAAACAGCTCTATATAGTTATTTTTGCACCAATTTCTTTAAAGAAAAAAAGAGACACTACACGTACTAAGCAAGTGTTGTTGGAGAGTGAGGGACCTGGATGCTGTTCTTTCATAGTGAAAACCTGCACTTCATAAGAGACTCTGAAAATAATGTTTTGAGACCCATCCAAGGAGAACAGGTACCAACCTCATGCACTGCTCTCCTGGTGTCAGGGAACAGGGCAAGAACTTTGCATGGGCATGTAAGTCTAGTAGACACCTTCTTAGGTGTGAAAAACATGCAAGGGGTCTCCCATGGCTGCAGGATGCTGCTCTGCTTGGCTCCTGAGGATTGCCAGAGTTTCATGTCTTCCTGGTATCACTTGGCTGAGAAAGAAACAATTCCTGCAAGATGGATTGAAGGTCTGAACTGCTTTTGTACTTCCAGGATGAAGCACCACCTTACAGCAGGAAACAAAAGGTAAATACTTATCTAGGAAGCAACCATTATTTTAGTTGCACAGCTGAGAGAAAGAGGAAAGCTTTGGGCTCCCTTTCCTTGCCTTACCCTTGCTTAACGTAATGGTAGAATTTGGAGACTGGAAAAAAAATATTACATTGGATATTCTTAAAAGGAAGTGTATTTTCATTAGTTCCTGCTCAGGTGGAAATAATCATATCACAGGAATCTCAATGACTGGAGCAGTTGATCCTCTATTTGTTTTGAGCTGACTGTTGAAATGGAGGGAGAGACAAGTCTTTGCTGGTTTTTTTGTTTGGTTTTTTGGGGTGTTTTTTTGTGGTTCCTTTGTTGTTGGGTTTTTTTCCTGAGGAAAAGAGAGAAGTATTTAGTAGTGAATGAAGCCAGGGGTTTAAGGGGGAGGCTTTTCCCATCGGTCCATGTTACAGCAGGGTAGGTTAGCACAAGTAACCACAGCTCAAAAACAGAGTTTTATTTTTCAGCACTTACTTTAGCTGTACAGAAATGGGCTGGCCATGGTTAAACACTTCCCCTGTGCACACACAGCTGAATTGCTCCAGGCAAAAGATAAAGGGGTGCTTGCCTGCTGACAGCATGTCCTACCAGCCAGCATAGACTGGCTCTCTGTGCTCAATCCCCCCATAAGTTGTGTGTCCTGAGCCTCGGGGCAGGAGCAGAGACTTTAATGATGTCTTGCTGTATTCTTGTGTTCTTCTCAGAATTATTAGAAAGAGAGCAAAGATTCCACCTGGAAGGCAAGGAATGGTAGTTATTTTCAGATGGAAGGTAAACTGTCAGTGCTGTTTGCTCTAGGGCTTCCCCACACTCAGGTATTCTTTTCTGGTAAATTAAGGGGTTTTCTTTTTTTCTCCTACATATTTTGCACAAAAAATACTTGGTTAGGCATTTCAGCTTCACTCTGGATAATGCAGAGAATAACAACAGGTCTTAATGAAATAATTCAGCAAGTTGCTTTCCTACTACCCTCTGCTCTGTGGAACTATTTATTTTTTTGCCACTGGGCATCTTATTAATTGCTGATCCTACTGAAGGGTCTTGTTGAGAAAGAAGTTTGCTCTGTGCAGCACTTCCTCTGAAGTACAAGAAGTAACTGACCTAGATTAACTTTGA